GTAATTGTGATCAGTGGGCAATGCATGGCTGGCATGTAGTTTCTAGGGTGACAAATGTGCAGTGTGATCAACACAAGGACACAACTGTAGCAGAATGTCTCCAGACACTACTTAGCTGTATTTATCTTGTTCATTACTAGTCACACAAAACAAGTTACAGGGAAAAGGGAAACAATGTGAACAGAAGGTGAGTCGCATTGATCAGACGTCAGTGTTGATATACAAATGTTTGCTGTTTTAATTTAAGTTTTGAAAAAGCAACTAAGACAGACAAAAGTATCCTTCAACAGCCTGACCTATTAATGGCACATGGAGAAAAAAGATCATCTCAGTTCATGTAGAAACATAAGACAATCTTTTTCTGACAAATATTTTTGCATTTCATGCTTTGAAATGTTTAGATGTAATATTTATGCTCTGCATTGTCCTAATTTTTAAACCTCTGGTCACTCAGCAATGTTACAAACAGCAAATGGCTTTGTAGGATGATTAGGATGTCTTCTTGAGCAAAGAAGTGCAAGTAAGGAAAACAGTGGAGATAATGAGATATTGATTTATTCCCTTAACTCCTAATAACATACAGATCCACAGGGCTGGCACAGTGCCGCCTGTACTTGATACAAGTCGATCACTCAGAGGATGTAGGAAGTGGGAAGCTCACTTGCTGCAATCAATGTGTTAGATATGGCCCTTCCCCTCTGTGGCACATGTGAAGTGATGAGCTGGTATCTTCAAGGAAACAATCAGTTTATAACATTATGTTTTATAAAAAGAAATGATTTACAAGCTGTTTCCAAGAAGAAAAGTGGTATATGTGTAAATTAGGTGTATTTGTGTAGTAGACAGTATATGATAGGATATATAATTTGGTCTTTGCTACCCACGCTTGGTTTCCATGTGGGGAAAAAAAAGTGTTCCCAACATCTGTCGCAGGTTTTAATGGCTCGATGTGCAACCATGGCACACGGGAAAGATTTTATTTTCAGCGGTGTGTTAATGGATGTTTGCTTTCCAGGTGCTTCTCTGAATGACGGTCAGTGGCATTCAGTGGAGCTGAATTCCAGACGAGGTCGTCTAACCATCACAGTGGATAAAGAGGAAAGAGACAGCTCTCAAGCCAGCCCATCGTTTCCTGTCACTATAGAAAGTCACCTCTTCTTCGGCGGTAAGACACAGTTCAGCTGTGTCATTCCATGCAATTATACCCACTCAAGCATCAGTGAGCATAAAATGTAGAAACTTTGTAATAAACCAAAAAAATATATAGAATTATCTGTCCACAGTGCATTAGTTAGTCAGTTACAGTCACAGTCTGCATCACAATACAGCAATGTTTTAGGGGGGTTTTCCACATACAACACACATCTCAGTTCATCTCTACAAATCTGTTGTATTTGTTTTTTAGTGCACTTTTATTTTATTAACTCTTGCCATCTGCTGTGATTCTCTTCTGTTCAGGTTGTCCAGTTGAAGATGGCAGTCAGAAGTGCAGAGACCTGTTTGATGTCTTCCAGGGCTGCATGCGTTTGTTTACTGTGGACAATCAAAACCTGGACCTGATTAAAGTGCAGGAAAAGCAACTTGGAAACTACAGCAACCTGCAGATTGACATTTGTGGAATCACTGACAGGTCAGCTTTCAAAAACTCTGCTGTTTGTTAAGGCACATTAGTGTTTTCTCTTAGCTCTGATGCAGCCCTCTGAAATTTATTAGAGATATGAAAAATGATAATCTGGAAATATTTCTGTCAGAATGCAGTCTGTTACAAGTAAAGCAGTTATTCATAGAATAAATCACCGTGAAGCTTTGGTGTACAAATTGCAGTGCTGACTGTGACATTTTCTGGTAGGAATAGGGACCAAAATGTTCTATTTCAAAATAATTCTGTCTGATTTTACCCCACAAAGATTGTTCATTGCATCTTAACTGTGTTGCCTTCATAACCACTTTCCTGGCAAGAATATCAGGTAAAAGCCAACCATGGAAAGTTTTAGTAGTTTGGTAAAAATGTATTTTAAAACCATAATACTGTCTCTTTTTTTACAACCACTGTGGCATGACACATTGTTCTTTTAAATTCCACTTCAAGGGTATTATGTACTTACATACTTGCATGATTAGAAGAAAAAATACCAAGACTGCACGTTTGACTCAAACCTTTTCCTTAGCAGTTTGTTTAGCTGAGATAGGCTCAAAGAATTGGAATCTGTATTACTATAATATGGGTACCAGTAGCCTATTTAAATCTTAGGAACACATTGTGTTTTCTATACCACATATAAGTATAACTGCATGAGATTTTGTACTTATACCAGAGGTGTGATTTGAACCCTTAAGGTCTTATGTCAATTGCTTCTTGAGTCAGTTAAGTCTGTGAGGATTAAGTGATTAGGCCTTAGTGATTAGACTTTAGGTGGAGATGGGACTGGGCCAGTGTTTGGTTGGAATTTAGGAGCAACTGAGCAACACTGAAAATAAATATGCCAAGACAGATTGCACAAAGAACTGTGTGTTTTGTTAATGCATGATATGTTCACTTCACTAAGAAGAAAAGTGGACAGTTATAAGCCTGATTTAATCTAAAACATGAATCAGAAACATGACTGTTGTAGGAGGGCATCCTAATCACTTGAAAAGCTCTTTCAATAGCATCTGATTTGTCTGAGAAGTGCTATGTAAACAAGGCCTAATTGATTGCATGTTGATTTGATTTATATCTGCCCCCAAAAAGCGTCTATACCAATATAGCATTTAAACCCATGAGGACTATGCATCACACGGTACATTTGATAATGAGAACACACAGAAGTGGGGTTCGAACCCACGAGGCTATTGCACCTTAATCACTCAGGTCTCTCATTTTAAATGCCAAACTTAATGAGGGTACCACGCTTGTCTTATCAGAACTGACATTATATAAAGATTAATATATGAAAAAAGATCGTTCATTCTTTCATTTATTCCCATCACTTGTTTTTACTCTAACCACTTTTTGTTCTGAGTCAGAACAAGAATGACTTGTTTTCCATTATTGAATTAAAATATGCGCAATTACTAGTGTCAACTATGTAAGTATCTATTAGATTGGCCAAAGAGACTTGCTTACCAGAAGTTGTGTTTGAACCCACGAGGGTTGGTGCCTATTGGATCTAAAGTCTAAGACCTTAACCACTCAGGCATCCTCGCAGCTTTTAGGGCATATCTTTATGAGAATTTAAGAAACTGCTGTTATTTATTAAATCCGCTAATCATTAAATCCGCCTGTCTTAACAACACTTTAATTTCAATTAAGTCAAGAAAGTCAAACCAGACTGTTTAGAGACTGCATTTACAGTCTATAGTGTCTTTTGTTTGTTACTGACCAGACAAAGCACAGTACATCGCACAAGGCACATCAACATAGACACTGCTGTTTTGCAGATTATGTGATTATGTCCCAGATTATTTGTTCATTCTTCTTCTTGTAGACCTTTTCATGTTTGCAATTGGTGAAAAGCAGCATGGTGGTAGAATGGATAGCACTGTTGTCTCACAGTAAGGTCCTGGGTTTGAATCCACTGGACAGACTCCAGTGACCCTGAATTAGATAAGAAACATTTGTTTCACACCATCTGCAAATTTAATTTTTCTCACAATAGGTAAATAGGTAAAATGTGGTCAAATGTGTAAACTGAGGTGCCTTGCATGCATCTATATATATATACATACATACATACATACATACATACATAGATGATTAGCTATGTCATTAGTTTATTTGCTACAAAGTAAAAAATCTAAATGAACATCTTCCACATGTGGTGATTCTGTAATTTTGCCAGAGGTTGTAAGACCACTACTTGTTTCATCTCTTTATAATTTAATTGAAAAAAAGCCCCCGCTGAACCTCATACATGCTTTGTCAAGCAGAACTCTCTATTACAGTAACGTGACAGGACCATTTATCAAGTGGAACTTTAGTTTATGGCCTTTACTGTACCAGGCGTGAGACCGAGAGCCACAAGAAGAAGCGCTCATAACAGTGCGATACCTAAATCACTTGGCCATCCTAGTGACAACAGGTGTTATCTGCTGAAAAAGCAAACAGTTATAATAGTTTAGTGCAAGTAATGCAAAATATAAAAGGCAATTTAAGGCATTTATTATATAAAAAAAAAAAAAGGCATTTACCTCATACAGCATAATAAGAATGTGATGGCATTTAGCAGGGTTGCAGCTGTTGTCAAGAAATATAATAAGCAATTTCTTATTAAAAAAAGGGGGCTTGCTAAAATCATATATTTATATTATAATTATATATTTATATAGATTATGTAGACAGAAAGCTAAAAAAAAAAAGAAGCTTCCAGTCATGTTGTGTCAAATAAGAAACACAATGGTGTGGAAGACTGTTTTTTAGATATATTTTTAATACTTTTATTGGGTTTTTTTATTGCTTAGAAGGAGACATTTCTCCATTCAGGAGTCATACAAGCAATCCCAAGCAAGCACTCACACTCACACAGTTATTAAGAGGAAATGATCGGTGGAAACCAGTGATGTAAAATAGGTGCTGTGACATTTTTTTTCCTTGCCAATATAGTTTTTTTCTTGAGCTTTAAACTAATTTAGGCAGTGGACCAATCAAGTTCAATATATGACCAACAGCTTGCTGATAGCACATCCAGTACACATCCATTATTAGATCAATCTAACCATTCAATTACAACAGCCCAGTGATAATATCTACTTTACAGAAACTCCTCGTGTGAAAATGTTCTTTTTTAATCAAGGTCACTCCTAAAGGTGTTTTTTTAGTGAACTATATTACATATAAAACTTCTTAGAGATTAACCACTTAAGCCCCACGCCCCCGGTACTGGGGGCAAAAAGGAGGAGATCACGTTTAATCGGTTATAACGCGGGTTGAGAAATATAAGTCCAGACATGTGTGGTATCCACAGAAACCTCAGAATCTCAGCTAAAATTTCATATAAACCATTTCTAAAACCACCAAACACACCGAAAATAAGCCGTAATTAAACTAGAAGTTACCTAAATGCGCAGAAGTCCGCTAAACAAACAAAACCGATCCAACCGGCTAAAGATAGGCTGGTTATCTTCCAGGATCAGACCAAAATTCACTGAATTAAGACAGAAATTGGCTTACCGTCCCGATTTCCTCTGTTATTTTCGCCGGTAGCCACATGATTAACAGTAGTTACCATGCCTACCTAGCCGCATCAGAGCAGTTTTCCGTCAACAACCTCCATTTTAGACCCACCTACAGACACGTGACTGAACAGACGCCACATGCAGTAAATTTGGGCCCACGTGGGTTTTGGCATCACAACGTCTGATTGGTTGAAGTGACGTGAACGTGGCATCATTACTGTGAATCTATTGGCTCAAACGATTAAAAAGAGGTGTCAATCATGCAAATTGACCAAAAGAAACCAAAGTTACAGCCCCTCGGAGTTTAAAGGGCCAGAGGCCAATCAAACGCTCTATGCGCACGGCAGAAAAGGGCCATTACCATGTAAATGTGTGGTTAGTTCTTCAAAAATATATTTAAAAAAAGCACTTTTAGGCCTGTTAATAAAATTTATTAATTTCTGCTCTTAAATACCTAAAAAAATCAACTGGCATGGTGTCCAATTGTGTGCCAAAATTCGACATTTTTGTACAACATCTGGATATTCATGTATTGACAGGGCTAATTTTTCACTGTTTCACTTTAGAAACGTAAATCTTTGCACAGATGATGTTTATATGTTGGTTACTGAGTTTCTGGAACCAAATGTGATCTGAGGCATATTTTTCAAAGGGTTATATGCTAAAAATTAAAAAAAATAATTAGGCAAGGATAAAATCTACTTACTTTTTCTGTGTTCCAGTCTCAGTAACTTTGACACAGTAATATCTGATTCAATATTTATACCTCTGATGAAATTTCCCAAGTGTTTTGATACCAAGATTGTAAGGACAGAGTTTGTAATTGCAGAGAAATAATCAATTAAATTTGGGCATTACATTTTCGAGCAGGAAACTCAGAAACCCCCTTGGGGCTTAAGAGGTTAAAATTCAGTAGTGTACCTATAAGTGAATTTTTACATTTGAAGTTAGCATGCTGTTAACGCCATCAGTTATGGAATGCATTATTGTTCTTCTGTCCAGAATAGGTTGTTTCTGGCTTTCTTCCCACTTTTAGTTTTTTGATCCTTGCTTGAGCCATGTAATTAATGCAGTGCGGGTAAAAATGTCGAGTTACATGAACTACATGTCATTTGCATCATCTCAGGGAAGACGTGAAAGCTTCTCCCACTGACACTGACTCCAAGCAAATGGCCCCAAAAATGAAATTAGCAAATAATTTGCATGTTAACATTACCAGTCAACCAGTTTCACATGCTATCTAGGATATCTTATTGCGGGTACACCACAATAAGATATCCTTTGATTTCCTAAGATATGTTGAAATTTTCCTTTGAGTTCAATATGAATGGGAGCAATAAAAACAGATCATTTCCATTCAGTTTAAGCTGCTTGTAATTAAAACAATGCTGATGAGAACACTGAGAATGAACTAACATTAGGGAAGAATAATGAGCTAAAAGATGCCATAAATTTCTGCAGCGCTGAGATGAACTA